GCCGCAAGTCTTCGCCCATTTAAGAGCAAATGGCAGGGCTGTCCCTCGTGTCAGGTGGGGGGCAACGCTGGGTCCCACTGAGGGGCGGACCGCGGTTTGGCTTACGTGCCAAGGCACGGATCGTGGTCCGGTCAAGGTGGAGTGGGTCCCCCTCCCGTAGAAGATTAGGTAGGGGCGGTGCATGTGGTATCCCCTTGAACTATAAAAGGAGGACCTTGCCCACCGAGAAAAGGGACGCTACTCAGTAGGCCTGAACTCTAGGAGAAGAAGAGCGAGAGTGCTCCTCGGAGTTTAGGAACCCTTGTAACACTCAACCATAATCCCACACACAGGAGTAGGTTATTACGCTCGATAGCGGCCCGAACCTGTATAATCTTGTCGCCCATACGCGATTTAGCAGCATTGAGGGCGGATACGCGATCTCGAGAAGTGAGCTTTTTCCCCCGGCCGAACTCACAGAAAGGGGGATCTCACGATCTCCCGCTAAAGAGGATCACTCCTCGACATCGGTGGTTTACATAGACATGATTAGAGTGTCATGAAGATGTAAGCACTAATCCCGAGAATGCAAACCGCCATAACAAGATTTACCTCTTCGTCGGAGAACTAACATAAGAATAAAAAACTCGTCAAAACAATGAGAATAAAAAGGGTGGCGATGCACCGAAATTGTGGACCCCCGTTTTTATAACAGGAATCAATCGTGTAAACAGTACCATTTCCCTGGATCAAGTAGTCTGGTACACACGAACTCATAGCTGAAATATCAAGTGCACATACACGAGAGTCTAGTACGAATTATTACATCATAAGCCCACAGGCACAGTCTTAAATCATCGGACCGAGCGGTCCGGAATACATTCCAAAAACAGAAGTAGGTAAGGCAGTGGAGTTAAGGCAGTGGCACGCCATTGCCACAGGCAACGACCGTAACTAAGACCTACTGAGCGCCATCGTCTTCATCTCCCTCCTGGTAGTAGGCATAGGGATCCTCCGAAGCTTCATCTCCCGCTTCTGATTAATTTTATATTTGCAAGGGTGAGTACCAACCGTACTCAGCAAGCCACCACAGCAATGATGCACATGACAGAGGAATTCAAAGGATGGCTATGGTTCTTTTGCGCAAAGCAAGTTTTGTAATTCTTTTCACAAGCCTAAGACCTAGCATAGACTGATCAAGTTTTAATACCAGTGTTCATATTAAACAATGACGGTTCTGTCCACCATCTATTGTGATCCCAAGGATAGCTTCCCGCCACTGAGTCGTTATGGTTTTCTGAGGACGTCCATATTCCCGCCTCTCAGGAAGTGGCTCCATCAGCATAAAAATCATCATGCAATATCCCATCCCACACAAGTTAAAGAATTTAGAGTCTAGCCAAGTATAATACATGTCCCGGTGCTCAATAACCGTGAGCACGGCTATTCGAATAGATTTGGTTTACTCACACTGCAGTGGATGTACACTTTACCCGCACTCCGCGACTGCCCAACACATGAGCCTCGTCCCAACACATGAGACACGTGACGGTAAAGCTTTTCGATAACCTCGCATTGGCAGTATCCGCTCCATGAACTTAAATCCTCATGCACTCTAGGCGTCCATGTTTCTAGCAGTGTGAGGAGTTCTGGCGCTCCCGGGAAAGAGAAGTCTCACACATATTAAATTATGGTTCAAGTTAAGTTCTCTTTCTCACACACTCATGGCAGTCCTACCAATGGCGACACCGATGTAGGGCACGCCTCTCGGCCCTACCTCAACGGCTGTCCCATCGTAGCACACCTACCTCACTCAGGGGTGAACCATCTATACAGGGATACTGCCTCCGCTCGGCTATCTAATCCGCTAGGTCTATACACATTCGAGAAGTACGGTTGTCCGGGGGTCGTTTCATGCTTAACTTCATGGCTCGGTCCTTAATTGACCGGGGATGGTACTAGCCTTTCCCAGATACCACCCAAATCCTCCGTCCGCCCCAGTCGAAAACAATTGTTTAATTTTATTTCTCCTTTCACAAATCATGTCATCAACATCATGGCAATGTGGCGCTCATGTCTCCACATGCCGCATCTCAATTACCTTCCCAAAGGTAATTGCCCAAGCATATAGCATTTGATAAATATGAGTATGCATGATTCTAGAATGGCATTTCTAAGTAATTATCATAATTGACTAGGGACTCATACGTAATCATGGTTACAAGGATTTTAAGGGTAAACAATAATCAAGGCATGGCATAATCACAAGTAGGATGTTCATCATTGCATGCAATTTTATTTGTAAACAAAACAATTTCGCAATTGGGATCAACATGTTCAAGGAATAGTGATGACTTGCCTTGCTCAAAGTCTTGCGAGTCTTGGCCTTCGCTTGGATCCGCAACTCCCTCGGGCTCCATAGTTACGTGCGAAAATTGATTTGAATTCGGTTAGAATTCAAATAAGAATCCAAATAAATCCAAATGACAGTCGAATGCGAAAGTCGATTCCTTTTTATTAACTTTACTATCCGCGAACTACGGCAAACCCAATTTCGATTTAAACTATTTTGCGGGTATAAATATTTTGTTGTCATAAGTTTTTAATTTAATTTACCCGAGCATTATATCCATATAATAGGTTAGGAATTTCTATCACGAGCTAAATATCGGACGAAACCCTAGAAATATTATACGATTTAATTTAGTCTAAGACTGAATGATTAAATGTAACACACGGCTAAAATCCCTAGTAATTAAATCCGAATTTCTACCGTGAATCGATTACTTATAGAGATTACCCAAAAATAATCTAAAATAATCTATAAGAATTCATCTAATTGTTTAGTTATTAATTACATCTAAATTACTACCGCGGATTGATTTCCTATGGAAATTACCAAGAATAATCCACAATTTATATTAAATTTTACAATTCTACGACTATAATTAATCTATAATTAAATTCTAATTATTTTGAATTTTCTAAACTTCCCTAATCTCCCTCTAATTTATTTTATTTTATTATTTTTTTCCTCTTTTCTTTTCTTTTTTTTCTCTCTTTTTCTCTACTCTCCTTCTTTTTCTCTCTTTTTCTCTCCTTTTCTCTCCTCTCTCTCTTTTTCTCTCCTCTCTCCTCTCCCGGCTCTTGCTCACCCGGGCGGCGACGGCGGTGGACGCGAGGGGAGGGGAGAAGACGGCTCACGGGCGGCGGCGGCGGTGACGATGGCGACGGCGGCGGCGACGATGGCGACGGCGGCGCAAGTTGCGGCACGGCGCGGCGGCGTTGCGGCGGCGGCGCGGTGGTTTGAAGGCGGCGGCGCAGCGGCACGGCGACGGCGGCGCGTGGAAAGGGGAAAGAGGGGAGGAAGAGGGAGATGGAGTGGGGGAAATGGAGAGGGGGGGTGGAGTTTTTATAGGGGAGAGGGGAAAGGGGGGGCCGGGCTGACACGACGGCGGCGCGGGGCTCGGGGCGCGACGGGGCTTGGGCGGCGCGGGGCTCAGCGCACGGTGATGGCGACGGGCGACGCGACAGCGATGGTCGACGCGACGGCGACGGCGGAGCGGCGACGGGACGGCGCGGCGCGGCGTGGGGCTTGGCGCGCGGCGACGGCGACACGACGGCGACGGCGCGGGCTCGAGGCGCGGGCGACTATGCGCGGCGGCAGGCGACGATGGTGACGGCGCGCGGCGGCTCGGGGCGCGAGGCGGCGATGGGACGCGCGAGCGGCGACGGGACGTCGACGGCGACGGCGACAGCGGCGACGCGACGGGCGGCGACGGCGCGCGGCGGCTCGGGGCGCGAGGGGACGGCGGCGCGGCGCAGCGGCGGCGGCAGAGAGGAGGCGGAGCGGCGCGCGGCGCGCGGGGCGCGAGGCAGCGTGGCAGAGGAGGGGCTAGGGCTAGGGGAACCACGTCGAGCACCTAGAGTGCAATGAACAGTGCGCTTTCCGATTTTTCTCATTTTAGTCTATTTCTTTTATAAATTTGATTCCAAAACTCGTAATTTTTGCACATATGCATTTTACTCAATATTTGTGTTATCTCAACTAATGAATTCACCCTAGATTACTCATATTTTATTTATATAATTTATTTGAATTTTTAATTAGGGTTAATTCTTATTCCATCGCATTTTAAATTTAATTGATCCAAACATGGTCGCGATAATATTTTATTTATTTCTATCCACACCTAATCTTTATTTTAATTTATATTTATTTTACCAATTTGTTCTTAAGATTTATTCCTAATTAACTATCTTTACTCACGATTAATGAACTTCGAAATTAAATCCAAATAAAATAGGCGAATAAGATCAGCATGGTGCAATTAATTTAAAAGTTTTTTGGAAATCCGTATTTTTAGGGTTTTGATTTATTTTTTTTGTCGGTCTGATTTTCAGGGTGTTACAGAAATATTATTGAACTGTCGTCCCTTTTTAATGGTGTCGGGTCATATTTATATTCGAAGTACATAATATGTCCTTGCTGGACACGACTCTTATCTCTAACATAATTTAAAATACGAATAAGTCCTTTAGGTGGACTCTTACCAAACATATCTCTAAGGAAACTAAAAAATGTCCTAATTAATAGATACAATTACCCTTTTTAGGACTCCAATCCTTGTGCGGCAATCGCTGTGAAACGTTATAACTAATCCCGACGCCAGATGTGGGACCATCTTTCTTGAGACTGGTTGCATCGGCTTGACTCCGTCGGATCTGAAGCTATCCGATATACGGCAGCCGATGCTGTTCGTAGCCGATGCGTACTCTACTTTCCTGAACGGAATTTCTCCAAACCGGCTTTGATTCTAACTTTGCATCTGGCCCATGGTATTACCAAATTTGGTCATTAACAAACGACGACGGCGACTTGGAGCCTGGTGGAGGGGATGTTCTCCTGAATGACGAGAACGCGGTACATCAGCACGCGCCTCTCCCTCACTACTCTGACGGTGACCAACTATGTCGGCAAGATGCAGGCATTGGTGGACGAGCTCACGGTCTCTGGCAAGGTGGTCGACGATTACGATCTCATCAGCTACATCATCGCGGGCCTCGACGACGACTATGAGCCCATGATCCAATCCATTGTCGGGCAACCAGATCAAGTCACGGTCGGTGAGGCCTTCGCTCAGCTCTTGAATTTTGAGCATAGGCTCTTGCTGCACCGTGGTGGAGAAGATGGCCAAGTCTCGGTAAACAGTGCAAGCCATGGGTGAGGACAACAGCGCGGCAACACAAGCAGTGGCAGCGGCGGCAACAACAACTTTAGCAACAACCGTGGTGGAAGGGGTCGCGGCAACCCTAGTTCAGGTCGCGGCAATCCAGCTCCTGGAGGGGTTGATAATAGGCCCAAATGTCAACTATGCTACAAGCGTGGACACACGGTAAAAGAATGTCGTTATGATGAAAATTTTGTTGCCGATGAAAGATTTGCAGGACCGGCATCCTCGTATGGTGTAGATACCAACTGGTATCTTGACACCGATGAAACAGATCACGTCACCGGTGACATGAAGAAGTTGACTGTTCGTGAAAAGTATCATAGACATGATCAGATTCACACCGCAAGCGGTGCAGGTATGGAAATTACTCACATTGGCAATTCTGTTGTTAAGACCCCTAGTCGCAATATCTATTTAAACAACATCCTTTATGCTCCTAAGGCAAATAAAAATCTAGTTTAAGCCTATCGTCTTACTTGTGATATTTTTGCCTTCATAGAATTATATCGTAAATTTTTCTGTATCAAGGATCTGGCCACGAAGAGAACTCTGCTTAGGGGTCGGTGTCATAATGGACTGTATGCTCGCCCTCTTGCATCGCCAAGTCATCATCCAATAAAACAAGTCTATGGAATTTTCACACCATCCTTTGAGCGGTGGCATAGTCGTCTTGGTCATCTTTCCTACAATGTTGTAGAGAAGGTTATTAAAAGTCATAGGTTACCTTGTCTAGATATGTCTAGTAAAGGCTCAGTTTGTGATACATGTCAGAGAGCAATTACCTTTTTCTAGATCATCTAGTGAGTCTGAATATCCTTTGGAACTCATTTATTCTGATGTCTGGGGTGCTGCCCCTCAATCTGTTGGTGGTTTTAAATATTATGTGAGTTTTATTGATGACTATAGCAAGTTTACGTGGATTTACTTGCTTAAGTATAAATCAGATGTGTTTCAGAAATTTCATGAGTTTCAACAGTTGGTTGAACGACTGTTTGATAGGAAAATTATAGCTATGCAAACTGATTGGGATGGGGAATATCAGAAACTCCACACCTTCTTTCAACAGACTGGTATTACTCATCACATCTCCAATCCCCATACCCGCCAACAGAATGGCTCTGCTGAAAGGAAACATAGACACATAGTTGAAGTGGGGCTCTCTTTGTTAGCTCACTTTTTTTAGAGGAAAGATCATTATATTGATAATGACCCGGCTTTTTGGAGAAAGCCCAGAACAGAGTCTTGATACAGAAAAGTAAAGGACACACGCAAAACACCTCACTTGCTCTCTGGAATCAGATTCCAGGCAAGCTACCAAATGACAAGGCGCTAAACTCTTACAGCAAAACAACCAACACTACTTAAAAGCTTACATAAAACACCCTAATCATAAGAGACACATTTCACAGATCTTCAGGTAATTGAATATCAGGTTTCCAGGATCTCATCCTCCCTCGCATATCTTCAATCCACGCCTTCTGGACATCCTTCATTTCCTCATTTTGTAAAAGACTCCATTTCTGCAGAAACATCAACACATTATGAATTAAGTGGAACGGTGAATTGATAACAACCCCTTCAAACACAAATTTTTTCCTGGCTAACCAAATTGCCCAACAGCAAGCAGCTAAAACAACCCACCAGAAACCCCCCTTTTTTTCTTTTCCTTCTTTACTAAAAAGAAAGAAATCTGAGAATGAGATTGGAGACATCTCCCACCCAGCTATTTCCCTAATGGCGCACCATAAGAATCTTGCTAAAGCACATCTAAACAGAATATGTTCTGTGTCCTCCTCTAGATCACACATTTTACAATTAATCTCCCCTTTCCATTTTTTCTTTTTCAGCTGAGCAGCACAAGGGATCTTCCCTTTCATGGCCATGAATAAGAAGTGTTTGATCTTTAAGGGAATTTTAGCTTTCCACAAGCCCTGTGCCCTGGTATCTATCACACCTCCAAAAGCTAAAGCTCTGTACAAAGATTTTGAAGAGTATCCTTTCTTCTCATCCAGAGACCATTTCAATTCATCCCACCCTTCCTTGATTTCCACTCCCTCTAGCAAACTTTTTAGTTCTACCCAATTATCCCAGGAAACTCCCTCCCAATTCCTCCTAAAAGTTAGGCACCATTCTCCTTCCTGCCAAATCTCCCTTACAGTACCACCTTGTTGCTCATTTATCTTATACAAATCCTCAAAATACACCCTCAGAGGCACTTGTAGTAACCAAACATCGTCCCAAAAACTGGTTCTCCTCCCATTATTCACCACCCTCTTTGTGTATAGCTGACAGAATTTTTTAGCAATATGCAAACCTTTCCAAAAATGAGACATATTCCCTTTTTGTTCCCTAAAGAAACTCTCTCCTTTCAGGTATTTTTTTGTGAAGCAGCTCAGTACACAAATCATGAGGTTCCTTTTCTAACTTGAAAATCCACTTTGCAAGTAGACTCACATTCATTTTCCTTGTTTCCAAAAAGCCTAAACCTCCATAATCTTTAGGTCTACTCATAGCTCCCAAACTCAACATATGATACTTCTTCTTTTTCTTCTGTATCCCCTGCCAATAGAATCTTCCTCTGACTGAATCCATTTTCTTATGCACCCCTTCAGGCAGTTTATAAAAACCCATGGCATACAGAGGTATAGAGGACAAGCAGGAGTTTATTAAGATCTCCTTCCCACCATAAGAAACATAGCCCCCAATCCAGGTTCCCAGCCTCTTCTCCATTTTTTGTCCTAAAAAGAAAAGATCTCTGATCCCAATTTTCTCAGTACTTATAGGAAGACCTAGGTACACAATAGGCATATTGCCCCTTTCACAGTTCAGAATGTCAGCAAACTGTTGAAGATCCCCATCCTCCAATCCCACTCCAAATACTTCACTTTTCTGGTAGTTTATTTTCATCCCCGACATCTCTTCAAAGCAGAACAACAGGAACTTCAGGGTTATAATGTTTTGTTTGCATGGTTTCACAAACAGAATCGTGTCATCTGCATATTGCAGGTGAGTAATACCCCCTTCAATCAGATCAGGAGATAACCCCACCAGAAACCCAGCTTTCTTTGCTGACTCAAGAATCAGATCTAATGCATCTCCAATTAAGTTAAAGAGAATTGGTGATAACGGATCTCCTTGTCTCAGGCCTCTGTATGTTCTAAAAAACTCCCCTTGTTCTCCATTAATGTTGATTGCCACTTTACCACCCTCTACAGCATTTCTCACCCATCCAATAAATTTTTCTCCAAAATTTTTCTTCCTCATGACTTCAAACAAAAAAGGCCGTTGCACTCTATCCTAGGCTTTCTCGAAATCTATCTTAAAGATAATACCCCCTCTTTCTTAGTGTCGAGTTCATGTAACACATCATGCAGAATTACCACCCCCTCCAAAATTGATCTTCCTGGAATAAAAGCGGTCTGAGTCTTGCTTATCACATTCCCAGCATATTCAGATGCCCTCATAGTTACAGCCTTAGTTAGAATCTTCAGGATAACATTTAGCAAACATATCGGCCTGTACTGTTTAATCGTATTAGCATCTTTAATCTTAGGCAGTAAAGAAATCACCCCATAATTCAATCTCCCCAAGTCCAATTCACCCTTGCACATGTCATCCAACAATTCTTTAACTAAGTCTTTTAGCATAGGCCACATATTTTTAAAAAAACCAATGGGAAAACCATCTGGCACTGGAGCGGTATTAGCCTTCATGCCTTTAATAACTCTCTCTAATTCCTCCGTACTGAACTCTCTTGTTAACCTCTCTTTTTCATCATCATGTAGTCTTAGGTTCTCCTTCCATGCATTTTCACCTAGACTCACTCCAATCAAATTTTCTTTCCCAAACAAAGACTTGTAGTATGCATACACATGTTTTTGGATGTCTTTAAACTGGGAAATGACCTGATCCCCTTCCTGTAGTGAGAATATGTAACATTTTCTCCTCCTCCCATTAGCAATCCCATGTCTTTGTTAGCTCACTCATCTATGCCATTGAAATTTTGGGATGAGGCTTTTCTTTCTGCAGTTTATTTGATTAATCGCACCCCTAGTAGAGTTCTCAAAGATATCTCACCCCTTGAAAAACTTTTTACCAAGCAACCTGACTATACCACTCTTCGTATCATTGGTTGCTCATGTTGGCCTAATTTACGACCCTATAACAAACATAAACTTTAATTCCGTCCAAAGAGTACACTTTCCTTAGCTGTAGCATTTTTCATAAAGGTTTTAAGTGTTTAGATCCTTCCAATGGCCGGGACTATATTTCTCGTGAAGTTGTGTTTGATGAAAACAAGTTTCCCTTTTTCAAGGTCCACCCAAACGCTGGTGCACGTCTTCGTGCAGAAATTTCTCTTCTTCCTGATGCTCCAGCACCAGTGGGTCAGCAACATAATTGTCATGTGAATAATTCTCCTGAAAATCCTGAAGTTTTGCAGCAAAATTCAACGGAAAGTGCAGCATATCATAATACAGCTCAGGCGGGCACCGATGCGACATCCTCGTCTGCTGCACCGCAGCAGCCCTCGGGATGGCCGTTGCAGCAGGCGTCCTCCACTGCGCCGTCTTCGCCATCTTCATCTCCCGGCCAACCAACCGGCGCCACGTCCTCGCCAGTACAGAAGAGCCCGCGCGGCTCTGCACCTGGAGTCGTCCCCGCTGTCAGGATCTTCTGCGGCAAGGGGCACGGCATCCAGTCATGCGACAACCACAAAAGATCCGACGTCAGCTCCTGATGCTGCAGGTAATGATGATGCTGCAGGTCATGATGGTGCTGGTGATGATGCCCCGCGACCTCGTCGGTTGTAGAGTGGCATAAGAAAAGAGAAAGTATACAGAGATGGTACAGTAAAATGGGGTCTGTTGACCTCCACTGATAAGCCACAAAATTTACAAGAAGCTTTAAATAATTCTAATTGGAAAG